AGACCGAAATTCCTACGGAGCATGTCACAAGAACACTGTGTGAATTTTTTTCATTTTTTTTGGTTGAGGTTGCGGGTCGCCGCAGCCAATTAATCAACCGGGTTTTTCGCTACATTTTCATTGCACGCGAGTTTTGAGCACAAATATCATATAATTAATTATTTTCAAATATATACCTCGAAACTTCAGCTATTCCTCAACCTATTCTGTAAGTCTGTTGGCTGTATCTCTCTAACTGTGGCCATGGTGCCATGCTCTCTGTATTGGTTTTCCGCAACTCGATCGCAGCGCCATCTCTTGAGAGGACTGTTAACCTTGCGCCGGTCGAGACAGTATGCATTCTGCTGATGCGATCTTAGGACGCTGATGAAAAAACGTGAGGCACAGGAGCGTATATAGCGTGAAAGCTGTCAATTGCAATTAAATTAGCCATGAAATTTACATATTAGGGGTTCACCTGACTTTAGCACAGCCATTATTCGCCAAGTGCGATAGTGTCCGCTGGACCTATTAGTCATTTAATTCTGCGCTGAGACTTCAGCAGCATTATTTTCAGTTTTGGCTTCGATTATTTTCTTGCATGTAAATTTAACCTTTTGTTAATGCAAACCTAGGCTGGGGGGATCCAGAGCGTCGTAAGCCTCGTCGTAGCTGCGACGTGTCGCAAGTTGTGTAGTAAGTCGTTTTTGAAGGGATCAATCGATGAGTAGCGTTACTTAAGTAGTAAAGTCTATCGCAAATAGCCTGATTTGCGACACAACTTACGAATTTGAAATAGCAGTCGTAAGTTGTGTCGCAAGTTGACCTTGCCTTGAGGAAGAGGTCACAGGTCACAGGTCATTCGGGTCATGGTCACGAAATTTACATGGTAGGTGTAAAATTGTTTAAACTTTAGATCCTGAAAATTTGGTTGCAATCCGTTGACGCTAACGCGAGTTATAGAGATTGAACTGACGGGTCGTCTATGAGTCCTCAATCCGTGCCAGCGAGAGTGTTAAAAATGGTGCATAATATGTTATATTCACATTTATTGGGGTATTCGGGGATATGAAGTAGCCTAACACCATTCCAGCAACTACTGGCGAATCCAGAAAGGCGGTCTTGGACGTTGCAAGGGGCATCCCCCAAAATATTCTCCCAATTCCAAAAACGACGTGTCCCAGCTGACCCCGATGACCTCCAATGAGCTCTGTGATGACCCCAAGTTGACCTTTTTGACCTGACCTGTCCCAGATGACCTCCGTGACATCCTTTTGAGCTCTCTGATGACTTCAAGCTGACCTCTGTGACCTGACGTGTCCCAGATGACCCCCATGACCTCCAATAGAGCTATGTGATGACCCCAACATGACCTTTATTACCTGACGTGTCCCAGATGACCTCCGTGACATCCAATTGAGCTCTCTGATGACTCCAAGCTGACCTCTGTGACCTGACGTGTCCCAGATGACCTCCATTTGAGCTCTGTGATGACCCCAACTTAACCTCTGTGACCTGGCGTGTCCCATATGACCTCTGTAACCTCTAAGTGACCTCTATGATGACCCCAAGCTAACCTCTGTGACCTGTCCCAGATGACCCTCATGACCTCCAATAGAGCTCTGTGATGACCCCAAGTTGACCTCTGTTACCTGACGTGTCCCAGATGACCTCCGTGACCTCCAATTGAGCTCTCTAATGACTCCAAGCTGACCTCTGTGACCTGACGTGTCCCAGGTGACCTCCAATTGAGCTCTCTGATGACCTTTAGTTGACCTCTGTGACCTGACGTGTCCCATATGACCTCTGTGACCTCTAAGTGACCTCTCTGATGGCACCAAGCTGACCTTTGTGACCTGACGTGTCCCAGATCGCCCCAATGACCTTCAATTGAGCTCTGTGATGACCCCAAGCTGACCTCTGTGACTTGATGTGTCCAAGATGACCTCCGTGACCTCCAGTTGAGCTCTGTGATGACCCTAGGTTGACCTCTGTGACCTGACGTGCCCCCAAGTTGCCGTCTGTGACCTGGCGTGTCTCAGATTACCTCCGTGGTCTCCAATTGAGCTCTTTGATGACCCCAAGTTGACCTCTGTGACCTGACGTGTCCCAGATGACCTCTGTAACCTCCAATTGTGACCTCCATCTACAAATTTCTTACCTCTCTGTGACATCAAACTCTCGGAACTCATTTCTTCTAAAGCATCGATTCTAGATGCCCTATAGCCACGAATCTCCTGTGATCGATCCCAAATTTTATGGCAAATCACGTGAGCGTTAGCAACCACAAGTCACCCAGTTAATACAAAGCTTCAGAATCAGAGAACATGCTTGACCTTGCTGTCTCATAAGCTCGCAAACCAGAAAGGCGAATGTTCCTTTATGCGTGATAGAGTTTTCGACCTTACTGACGTTTACTACGGGATCAGCTGATCGTGTAGCCTTTTAAATTCTCGAGTAAAGCGGGTATTTAAGCCTCGTCGCAGCTACGTTCTGTCGTATCCTCCGACAAACCCCTCTTTCCTCAACATCCCTCCTTTTCCGCTACGACACAACTTGCGACGGCATATGTGTCGTAACTTGCGACGTGTCGTAGATGGACTTGCGACGCCCTGGATCCCCCCGGCCCTAGTGTTAGAACTGAACAGTAGCAGCTCAATTGCAGAATAAGTACTAAGTTAGCCCGGCTTCATCTGACAGCAGACTGAGGATGAGTTGCGAGGTATCCTGCTGATCGGCGATCCGAGTATCATATCACTGCCCGAGTCGCGCGTTCTCATCGGACCATCAGATCCCATTTTGATGACCTATTGGGGCTGGGCCACCGCAACAAGCAGTGGAGCATCGAGCTTTGAGGGAAACTGACCTCATAATAATCGCAGTAGTAGCTGCTAAGCGGTCGCCGGCGCAATTTGTGATCCCAATCATGTGACATTGTTGCAGTTAGTGGAAAGGAGCCTCCATGTCGAAACGGAACTAATGCCGCGTGGTGGTCCTCGGTGACACTTCACATTCTGTTCTCGGATAGGCAAGTGATTACAAAGGAAATGCCCTTCTGCATTTTACGTGCATAGGCAAGTGATTACAAAGGAAATGCCCTTCTGCATTTTACGTGCATAAGGATGCGTCGTTTATCATGATAAATAGGATGGCCGTGCTGGATCATCGGCTAGGACGAGCCTGCTGGACGAGCATATTGCTTCAGTAAATGAGCCGGTAGTCAGTGCTTATTCTATTTTACACCAAAATCAGACAAGGGCCAAATTATTAAACAAGTTTACAAGACTTGTGGAAAAGCCACTGGACTAAAGCCGCGCCGATCAGTGGACCATTTACGAAGAGTGCCTGTGCATCGAGCAGGAACCGTTCGTGCCGTTTCGGGCAACGCCATGCAGTCCAGATCAGAGAACACTTCTGAACAGCCCGGAAGCAGACGTCACCTCTTGACAAATCCTGAGGTAGCTATCAGTAAGGAAGCTTGAACCCTTGAATTTGGTAAAATGGCTTACGTTGGCAGCTTGAAAGTTACGTATTCCGTCGCGATCGCCCATCATACAACATATATTGACCAGCTTCGAACTATCACCGAGTTCAATGTTGTTCACTATGTCCCAATGTGGTCCGAAATTACGGAGTAAACATTGCAGAGACGGATTACTCCAAAGCACCCCGCTATTGCGAGACCTCTCAGCTCATCGGTCTGTGTCATTTGCCCAGTGATCGACAGGAATAAGTACCGGGCTCACTATAGGAAACTTTTTTGGACTGCCACTAGCCGATACAGACAGCCAGCAAACAGTGCATACGCTGCGATACATGCTGAACTAAGGAATGGTGATAAAAAGACTCGAGACACTTACGGCAAAAAAGTATAGGAAGTGAATGAGGCAGGAGACAAAGATATGCGATTCTATCAGTATTTTGCAATAAACAAGTCATGCACTACATGCAGCTCATAGATCGGTCCAAAAAAAACGCGTTACAGAGTCACTGCAATAGCAATCTCGCTGGAAGAGGGTGACCTTCGCCCCGCTGCTTAGCAAATTAATTTCGATCCGGTGCATACCCATACTCACTACTCAGGCAGTGAAGCGAGCCGTCCGGCTCCTAACTTAGGCAGCATACGCTGTTGTTATTAAGAGAGCACGTCTCAGTTACATCATGTGTGCCATCAGGACGCAATGCAGCGCTCTCATGCCGGCGTTTGAATCAATTATCGAAGTGTGATTTTCTGTCCTAGGACGGTAAGGTGGCTGGCTACATTGCATTCAAAAATGAACATACGGTTTGGACTGATGTTATCTGTCTGCAAAACTTAATTTAACTGATAAACATATATCAAAGTTAAGCATCTCGCTGTTTTCTTGGCGAAATCACTATAGGTATAGCTTCCGGAGCAACTTAGTATATGGATCGAATGGGTACAACTCACCTAGTGTCAAATAAGGAACACCAGACACCTAGGAACACCAAAGAACACCATATACCCGACGTGGCAGCGGCAGTATACCCTGGCAGCGGCTGCGTCAGCTTTTAACGGTCGGAAAGCCGTCAAAACCAATGTTATGCCAAACTCGCTCAATAGATGGCGCTGGTTTTGTTGCGCTCAGATCGCCGATGCTAATCGCTATTCTGAGCACGATTCTGCCACTGGGGTTTCCAAACTTTGTGAAGAGGTGGGGGTAAGCATGTAGAACTAGGAAAGTGGTAAATATAGTATCTTTCTCGATTTTTTCCTACTAAATTTTGCAAACAACGAGAAAAATTAGCAAAAGTGGTCTCGAAAAACCGTGTACGGCGCGCCCAGTTCCTTTTCAAAAATTCGCAAAAAATATGTTTTAACCGTTTTATGGATCAGCCCGTAGGAAAATCGCTCTTCACTTGACAACTTTTTTCATCGACCCGCCCTAATGTGTAGGTGCGGGTGAAATGCCTACGACATTGTTCCCACCTTGCATTGCACACGACACCACACACATTGACAACACTCACCACACACCCCATTCCACAGCATCACTTACCCTTGCTGCAGAGGAGTGGCGCTCCGTCCCCGTCGCTCCGTGCACCGCCGGGAGCAGCTGGGAGCACGTTCCGTCCGCCGCCGGGAGCAGCTGGGAGCACGCTCCGTCCGCTGCCGGCCGTCGGCAGTCACTGGATTCCCCTCGAGCGGCGCGCGTCAGCCCCGGCCCGAGAACCGACGCTGAATGAACGTCAAACGACGCTAGCGACGCGGCGGGCCGGCAGGGATGGGGTTCGGCTGCACCGGGATTCGACTGGTCAGGTTGGCCGTCTGCTTCGGCAGGTCAGTGACCTCTCATTCATTCATAGGGATGGGCATGGATCTCATGGATCTTGGCTCGTTCACTTATGAATGTGGATTGGTCGCCGCGCTGGTCAGTGTCCTTCGTTTATTCACTTTGATGGGATAGATCAGGATTCAGGAACAATCCAGTAGGTTTCTGATATGAGGAGGGGGCTTAGTAGTTCTGAAACATTTCATGATGTGAAGACGCTTACTTTTCAATAAGCGAAGCTTTGTTTTCGTTATAGGCTCAAGTTTCTAAGAACCTACGTGAAAATCACATACGCACATAGCTGCATAATGCATGCATGATCACATATTCAATGACTAATTTCGGCAACATTTTAACAACTGTTCTTTCCTTTGGCGATGTTTTCGCCCTTTGCGCCATAAATTAAAACAAACTTTTACTGCATTTAACCGGAACATAACTAGCCATCATATGTCTCGTTATTAAACAACGGGTAGAACAACGCCTGGAGTGAATTCCTGAATGGAGAGGGGAAGCCTTATTCCAGACAACCTACCAAATATTTTGTATGAAGCTGAAATACATGTTCGTTGATGGAATAATCGGGTAATTAGTGAAATTTTAAAAAAAAGTTCATTTTTGGATAAATGTTTTCTCTGGATATGTGTTTAAATCATTTAATTCACCACTTACTCTATACAGAGAAAGTGGCTCAAACGGATGTTATTAGCAACAATTAATGGCCCGAGGACTGAAAAATCACACCACCGTTTTACAACAGACGGATGCGTTTAGCCTGTCTCATGTCTGTCGTCTCTCGTCGTCTCGTCTGTCTCTCGTCTGTCTCTTGCATCCCTCTTCTTCCCCGTGCACACTGAAAACAATTTAACCCAAGGCCGGCGAGTAAACCGGTGTTTCGCGGGTACCCCTATCCGCAACCATTTTTAACCACCCTCCCAGGAGTACAGTAAGGCCCCATTGCAGTGTAGTCGTCCCTGCTCTCAGCGGACATGTTCGCTGACAGCGGTTATATCCGCTCAGAGCATTGAGCAAGTACGACTACACCGCAATGGGACCTAGCACTATGTACTCCTGGGAGGGTGGTTAAAAATGGTTGCGGATAGGGGTACCCGTGAAACACTGGTTTACTCGCCGGCCTTGGGTTAAATTGTTTTCAGTGCAGTTCGGAGCCTGCAGCTATAGCTGCGCCATGGCGCACTGAGCCAGCCCACAGACGAGGGGCACGCGCTGGCTGAGTCACAGCTGCAGTTTGCTAACGGGGAGGGGTGGCGAGGGGCTGCCACCGCTGATTGAACGCTCTGTTGAGTCATGGCACACTCCGAGGCTCCCCTCTGCACGCGCGCACTGTGGTGAGACTGAAATGGGAGAGCGATTAGCGTTGACACCTAATGTGTAACTGCTCACAATACAGGCCAGTAGCTCACAGCCCACAGTTCAGTCCGCACCGCTTGGCTCACAGAGACAGGTGTTATCGCTCCGTTCACAGCTCACAGTAAGACAGCATTTACATCGCATTTCACGTGGTTACCTGTTCACGCCACAGCCTGTTCAACCCGTACCGTTCGGGTGCCGAAGCAGGTGGCAGCTCACAGCCCAAAGCCTCAACAAATGCCTCGCGTGCCATGGCTGTAAGCTCCTAACCACAGCTCATAACTAACAGCCTATTAAACTTACGCCCCATTGCCATGACATACAACGGTAAATGGTTCATGGCCCTCTGTTGATAGACGGCAGAAAATGATTCACGGCTTACACTTCACAGCTTACAGATTACCAAAGCCATCCGTCAGTTCTTGTACTGGAAAGTCATGCAGTTATCCCTCAGCTCAAAGCTCTACGCCATACCAATTGCCTTAGAGTTTTCAGCCCGCAGAGCACACGGCACACCTCTGCATGTATCCATACTCCCAGCCCCCTGCTGTATCCTCATTTGTTCCGTCGCCGCTCTAAGCACACTCGGACTACACGCTGCAACTCTAAGCACACAGCCGCGACTCTATACGCACACATCTCTCAGCCCGTGGCTCTACTGTCTACGCACACGTCTCTCAGGCGGCACGTGGCGGCTCTGAGCACATTCATTCATTCATTCGTTTATTGACCTTGGGTATCGGGGGGGGGGGAGGGGAGAGACACAAACGCAAACATGGCACATTAAAACGATGCAAGCAAGACAGGATAAAATACATTAAAAACAACCCTCAGTCCATCAATGATCTCTAGCGATTCGGCGCGGCGCGGGCTAACCGCCCGTGGGACCTCGGAAGTCGGAACCATCTCGACTCCGGGCCTAGATATTTGTAAGCAACATATAACGCGCAATCGGCAATCGATGAGTACAGACGAAACGTTCGGCAAACGGCGGACACTACATGAAGGCTCTAAGGACGTCACACAAAGCCCTATCTCAGAGGTGACGGACGGCCCGCCCGCTCCTTAAAGCTGAGACCGTCGTTCGTGCCGCTCGACTGCCCGCCGACTCCGGTGTCAGAGGGGCCCTCTCCTGTGTCGGAAGGGCGGGACCGGGGCGTGCCGGGCCGGCCTTTGGGACAGTAGCTTCTCAATATTACCAATTGACTTCAATAGTTGAAATAGGTAGGAGGTAATGAATGGGACGACGGACCGCCATGAGCATGAAAGGCTCAATGGCCTGTCAGTAAGCGATTTGAGCAATGACTTAAGTGTAACAAATTATCTATTAAAGTAATCTAAATAAGATGGAACATCTGACATTATTATCTGCTAGTGAAAGATCTACCGAAGACACCTACACCGTGATTCCATTGGTATTGATACCTGCTATCACTGGCGGTCGCAGCCGCTGGCAAAAGGGGGGGGGGGCAAAGTCACACTCGCGGGACATAACATTTATCCGTCACTGGATGGGGGATAGGTGATCGGCTAATTTTTTTACGCCCACGAGGCGCCGAAAAAGTTGGCATTCCTTATGCTTCATCCACCTCATTCTTGCGTGAAATCTTTAAGCTCAATTTAAGGCAAAATCACCAGTTCCATTTCCCGTCCCACGGTGTTTCCACCGGTCGGGCCACTGCACCATGGCGACGGATCGGTGTAACATATACCTACTGGAAGGTCGGGCACGCGGATTCATGACCTTACCACTATAAAACAATTCGGAAAAGTACAGATACCTCTTGCTTTGAACAAGCATGTGAAACCCAGAGAGCATTTTCAAACCATGACATTTACCCATATAGATGTGTAGCGGCGGGAGAAAGTAGGTACACCGACCTCTGGAGACCCCCGGCCCCACAGGTTCCTGGTTTTCAAAATTGGCATCTGACTCTGAGGGCCGCGCGCGACTCGTGCGGGGCTTCGCAACGGCTCTATTGGGGCTCGGCTCACTCAACGTGTCTTATAATCCTACTGCTAAAAAGACTGGTCCTGAGCCCTAAGGACTTCATCAGTCTCTGCCAGCCCCACACACCGGCTCATGAGGTCCCGACGTCGAAATATGAGGGAATCTGCGCGGGACCATCAGGACGTAAAGTAATCTCGATCAGGACCAACGTAAGGCTGTGCAGGAGTCTGTGTGAGCCCCGTGATCTTCAGAATCCCACCCATGTATGTTTTCACTTAGAGGCCAGTTTAGGGCCCTCAGAGACCAGTACAGGGCCTGCAAACTGCAAAAGCCAGTAGTTTGAGACCATCAGAGACCGAGTTGGGCTCTCAGAGGCTAATGTGGGTCCTTACTCATTACAGGCCAACATGGGCCCTCAGAGGTCAGCGTAGGGCCCTAAGAGACCGGCATGAGCCGTCATTGGACCCCAGAGGCCAGCAGAGGGCCCTCAAAGGCCAAGATGGGCCCTCCTCAGAGGCCAATGCAGGCCCTTAGAGGCCGGCATCGGGTCTTCAGCAGCCAGTGCATTGGCTCATTGGCACCTAAATGTTCGTCTTGGGACACCAGAGACAGCAACAAGGCCATTAGAGACCGGTGTGAGACCCTCAGACGCCGGTTGGGGGCCCCTGAGGCCGGTTAGGGGCCCTCATATGCCAGATGTGGGGCCTCAGAGGTCGATGTGGGCTCTTAGCGGTCAACGTGGGCGCTTGACCGCCACTGAAGTTCCATCAGAGGTCAGTGTAGGACGCTCAAAGACCGGTGTGGGAGCTATATTAATAGCTGGGCGTGGGATTTTTGAGCCTCGTGACGATCGAATAATTGCCAGGGCCCCATACACCTATATGGGGGCCCATTGGTTATTTGAGGGGGGGGGGGCAAATGATATGATGGCCCCCTTTATTGATCTTTGAGGGGCATGGCCCTGATGCCCCCCCCCCCCCCCAGCGACCGCCACTGTGTACACGCACACAGGCCTCTGAGATTACATACTAGCTCATGCAAACTCTATGCAGGCCCCGGAGGTCCCACGCTAATCCTTAAGAAACCAAGCCGGCATACGGCGTCACCACCGGGCTTCTGAGGTGCACAGCACCAACCCAATAGGTCTTATGTGTCTTAGAGCCACGCTCATTTGGCAGGGCCCACCCGCCACTGGCGAAGAGGGTCTCATGCAAGCCATTGCTGGGCCTACGAGAGCCTCAAGTAAACCCACGCTGATATTCCATATAAGATCCGGCCATACTCGTGAACCGGTGCCAGCGACGCTGACCGCCAAATTGACAGAATGCGAAACTGAGCCCACTGACTCATGAGTGAAATGTACGTCCTTTGATGGCGCAAGAGAGAAAATGAAACATACAAAAAGCTTTTCTAGGACTTTTGTTCGATCTGAAAGGTGGGGCCAAAAGATAGTATGGTCCCACCTTTCAGCACCAAAGGGGGGGGGGGGGCATGGCCCCCGTGGCCCCCCCCCTGGGACCGCCTATGCCTGCTATACATACATAGCTGTATTCCATATTGCGGTGCTCGAATATTTGTTATCACATCATGCAATGCAGATTGCTGTCGCTATGCGCCATGCACTACCACAATAGTTACTTGTTGAAAGCGCCACGGCCCTTGACACACGGCCCATCCACTTCACGAAGACAGCACAGCTCATTCATCACGGTACCCTCCACACACCTGGGCGCGGCCACTCAGCGATCGGCAGGGTAACCACTTACACCGGCGGTAAGTGGCCAAAAATTGAGTCCGGCATCACCTCTGATTCGCCAAGGCGGCCGTTAGTGGACACAGTCCGTATCTACGAGTTGTCGCGATCAGATGATAACGTCCTAGCTACAGCAGAGCGCACAGACGGCCCATTCGGACTGGGTCCGTTCGACTGGCTGCGCTCGCTGGCGGTGCTCTCTCTTCTACACATCACCATGGCGAATCCAGTGCTCTCAGTGCTACCCGTCCGCTACATAGTTGTGGCGGTGACGTTCTTCGGCTTCATCATCAACTACATGCTGCGCAACAACCTGAACCTGGCCATTGTGGCGATGGTGAACCACACGGCGGTCAACTCGTCCGACTCCAGCGGCCAGAATGACGGCCCGTTCGTCTGGGACGAGAACATCGTCGGCCAGATTCTGGGCAGCTTCTACTACGGCTACATCTGCACCCAGATCGTGGGCGGACGCACCGCCGAGCTGACCAGCGTCAAGTACATCTACGGCGTGTCACTGCTGCTGGCCGGTCTGCTGACCTTCCTGATCCCGGCCGTGTCCTACTGGGACTACCGGGCGCTGCTCACTGTCCGGATCGCCATGGGGTTCGTGATGGGCGTGGGCTTTCCCTCCGGGTACGCGCTGCTGCGCGCCTGGGCGCCTCCCAACGAGCGCAGCACCATCATATCGCTGGCCTTCAACGCGTGCAACATCGGCACGGCCATCACCATGCCGCTGGCGTCCGCCATCATCAACGGCATCAGCTGGGAGGCGGTCTTCTACATCCAGGGCTCGTTCGCGCTGGTCTGGTTCATCTTCTGGGTGTTGCTGGTATACGACAATCCTGAGAAACATCCTTTCATCACCGAAGAAGAGCGTCTATTTATTGTCACAGCCATCGGCAGCGGCCAGACCAACGAACGGCGCCTGCCACTGCCGTGGAAGGAAGTGCTGACCTCCCCTCCTGTCTGGGGGCTGATCATCACCAGCTTCTGCAACAACTGGGGCTTCTACACTCTCCTTAGTGACCTGCCGCAATATTACAGCAACGTTCAACACAAAGACATTTCTCAAGATGCCGTCTTTACTTCGCTGCCTTTTCTTTTGATGTTCGTTTTCGGGGTCGCGTACAGCGTGTTCAGTGACTACCTGCGGAAGAAGAACCTGCTCAGCATCACCAACATCCGCCGCCTGGCGCAAGTCGTCTCACAGGCGCTGGTTGCCGTCACGCTCATCTGTATCGCGTTCCTTGGCGAGTACGAGACGGCCGTGGAAGCACTGGTGTTCGTCGGGGTGGGTCTTATTGGCGCCGGTTACTCTGGCTGGCAAACAGTGCCCGTCGACATGGCACCCAACTACTCGGGATCACTGGTGGGCATCTACAACACGTTCGGCAGCATCCCCGGCTTCCTGGCGCCGCTGGTGGTCGGCGCGCTCACCGAGGGGCACGAGACCCTCGACCGATGGCGCTGGTGCTTCCTCATCCCGGCGGCGCTGATGCTCTTCGACACGGTCGTTTTCTTGGCGTTTGGTAGCGGTGAGGAGCAGCCGTGGAATCGGAAATACTATCAGCAGAAGGACGGTGGAGCTCAGGAGACAGGGGTTTCTGAGATAAGTGACCGCGGTGAAGCAGCCCCAAAAGTAAAACCCAGCTTGCAGGAGCAGCGCGGAAATGACAATATGAGCTACGACAATGCTCCTGTTTGAGCAGGCAACTGAAATATATAATGGTCCTGGTGTGGAATATAGGTATTACAAGACAAGCAGACATGTTTAAATAATGGACCTGGGTACGCATTTTATTGCTGATACGACTTTTTCACGACTTGCTATCAGGCGAATGCACCTAATTTGACCAAATGTCTGCACAAAATCTCTCTTACAATAAATATCTTCGTATCATGCAGGGTCTAACATGTTAAATGGGGGGGGGGGGGGCAACTGCCTCCCCAGTCGAACGGACTGCCCCCAATCCCCCAGTGACCATTGTTTTCCCTTCCCCCACCCCCAGTCAAAGCGTGAGCTTTTTCACAAAATTAGCTCTTCACACAATTTTCCACGAAATTGGCCCTGCCACTCAGTCAAACGCCCAGCACGGAGAAGTGAGTTTATCACTATCGGTTGGGCAATGTCAGGAGGTACCTAACAGCGCCGCCGTTTTTGGCACACCTGTTTGTGCATCTTGTCCGCACATGTTGTAAAAATTTCAAACCCAGGTCGCTCAAGGTCAGGTCACCAGGTCACGCCAAGTGACCTCACCTCAGAAAAAAATAAAATGTTCGTCATAGCTACACCGACTGAACGGTTGCCTTTAACCCTCAGCAATTGATAAGAGTAACAGTATCTACAAAACGTATATCTCGGAATTTCGATATCGGTGACCTAAGGTCAGGTTAATTTTGCGCCCTCTCCATTTCCTAAAGTCAATAGGAGAAAAATGAAAAGCGTCGGCTCTTTTGCACGAACGCCATTCTAGACACTCTCTAACATCGGGATGCAGGTAACATTGACACACTTAACCGGAAAATGGCATTTGTGACCCCTCGTTATGTCCCCGAGGTCATCTCAGGTCACGAATAGTATCTAACAGACTAATAGTTTTCGCTAATTACCTCTGATAGAGGCATGCTAGAGCGATGAAAACGCCTTAGATGTGTTCGGCTAGATGATGCGGATCGACTGATATGCAACATGACCTTTTGCGGTCAGGTCATGGCCTTGGCCTGAGGTCAAATTTTCAAGTTGACCTTTAAAGGTCAAATTATAGTTCATTCGAAGCGTCTCGACGAGGGGAACACGATGCTGGCAAAAGTAATGTCGTGGCTCTTTTGAGTCAAATGTTATTGCCGAAAAAAGTAAAAACACTTTTCGTAAAAATGTTTTTTTTTTTAGTTTTTGCCTTCTGGAGGCTAGACCGTTGACCTGAGGTCAAATCTGAGGACATGCTGGCGAAAGAGCGTTAAAAGAGCTATCGAATTCGCTTTTCCGCGGCGCTGTAGCTCTATCGATTCCCGAGTTAGCCGTTGGCAGTTTCCAAAATGTTGAAATAGCCAACATTTTACCTTTGGTGACCTCTGGTGACCTGACCTTTGACCTGACCCAAAAAATGACTGAAATGTTTTCGTCCTTATCTTAGACGTTCTTTCGATTGCCACTTATCTCGTGTCGCCACGTGGCCCAGGAGCCGAGTTAGAAGGGGGGGGGGTGTTCAAACACCCCCCGGCCCGGCGCGGAAGTCTCGGAGCACCGGTCCGGCGCGGGTTAAAGATTGGCTCGGATATCCGAGCCAATCTTTATAGGCCATCCGAGACATATGTCTCGGATGGCCTATGTTTTTCTTAGTATTAGTTAAAAAAATAAAACCATGGTGTCAAGGCTGTGACGAAAAATAAGTGGCTTAAATCCGATGAGAAAACAGGATTTGGGGGTACCCTAGGTTTGGCTCCTTCAGTCTCTTGTCCCCCCCCCCTTCCCCAGTAAAAATTCCTTAGACGAGACCCTGGTATCATGAACTTATTTCAGTGTTTTAGTAGTAAATAGTGCCTGATAATTTGAAAAATTAGGTAGGTAGGCCGTAGGTATACATCTGTGCAGATCAAACTGATAGAAACACAATGAACCTAATTTGACCAAATCTGCACATCTGCACCACATGTGTACCAGATGGTCGTCGTGAAAACGACTATAAATAAGCGTTTAGTATTTGTTGTGATCATAGGAGGAACGTTGTGCCGAGCTGGTGGTTCTCGAGCTCTTCGAATTCCACGCCAGCTTGGCTTTGGAGCCGCAACAGACGGCGGAGCCCGGAGATCTCAACGCAAAGTTCCACCTATGGCTGATGTCCATAAAGTTAGCGTCGTATTCGTATTCGGATTCAAATTTGAGTAATGATTTCGCTCAAAATTGGCATACAGATAGCCCATGGCACGCTGAGTTCGAAAATGGTGACCTTTTTCCAAGGTCAAACCGTTTGACCTTGAGAGGTCAAAATACTGCGTACCCTGTAGAATCTTTGTTTATGGTCCGATTTGAAAAATTCGACCACCAGTGTGTTCGTCTCATCGAGAAGCAGTAGCACATTCAAAACCCGAGGTCAAGGTCAAAGGTCAAGGTCAAGGTCACTTTAAAAATCGCCGTACCCTATAAAATCTTCATTTTTGGAGCTATCGGAAAATTTCGGCCACCACTGTGTTCGTCTCATCGAGAAGCAGTAGCACATTCAAAAAAATCCGAGGTCAAGGTCATAGGTCAAGGTCAAGGTCACTTTAAACGTTAAATTTTAGTCCCCGTACCCTATAAAATCTTCATTTTCGGAGCTATCGGAAAATTTCGGCCACCACTGTGTTCGTCTCATCGAGAAGCAGTGGCATATTCAAAAAAATCCGAGGTCAAGGTCATAGGTCAAGGTCAAGGTCACTTTAAACGTTAACTTTAGTCCCCGTACCCTATAAAATCTTCATTTTTGGAGCTATCGGAAAATTTCGGCCACCACTGTGTTTGTCTCATCGAGAAACAGTAGCACATTAAAAAAAATCCGAGGTCAAGGTCATAGGTCAAGGTCAAGGTCACTTTAACCCAGTAAACATGCCGACGTCGGCCCGACGTCGGCCGACGTCGGGTTGACGTCGGCAACTCGGCATCGGCATGCCGACGTCGGCCCGACGTCGGTCCAACCTCGGCACGACGTCGGCTGGATGTCGGATATGCCCGCATGTTCCGACGTCCAGCCGAGGTCCAGCCGACGTCGGGCCGACGTCGGACCGACGTCGGACCGACATCGGCCGCTGTTTTGACCGTTAGAATAATATAAAATACATGTTTCATGTTTCATAAAGAGCTTCTGTATTCAAAATATCCTCAGGAAACTCAAATCTTCCTCCACGCCGCAACCCCCTGATCCGGACTGAACGGGAAACTTTATCCCATTTGGGATTGCCCGTAAGCCGAGCTCGCCCGTAGCCGGGTGCGGTGAGTGCTTGGGGGCTGCTCGGCCTATCCTTTGGTCAGGCTCAGCCCCGGCAACTCACCAGGGCCGGGCCCAGTTCATATAGAAAGGCCAGTCGGCAAGTGTCACTTTGCCAAAGTGCCACTTATCAAAGGGACACTTTGGGGAACGTTGGTGCAGGTGTGTAAGAGTGGCTATATGAATCCATTGTGGGGTCGCCCTTTCCAATAAGTGTCACGTAACAGCAATGGGACCAGGGACTCTATATGAACTGGACCCAGGGTGCTCGCCAAGAAGACCAATGTCTCCATCCTATGATCCTTCCGGCTCTGAAATGGTCTTGTCAGACCAAAAGGGCATAACCCAACAAAACAAACCAAATTCGTTAGCTGGCTGCGTGGTGTAGTGGTTAGCGCACCAACACGCGTACGAAAGACGCGGGGTTCGAATCCCGCCGCCTGCTGATGCTTTTGGCGTGTTGTCCCAGTAAACACGCCGACGTCGGCGACTGGGGGGCTCGAATCCCGCCGCCGGTTGATATTTTTGGCGCGTTGTCCCAATAAACATGCCGACGTCGGCCCCGTCGGTCCAACGACAAACGATCTCGTCAGCCTCGGCAAACGATCTCGGCCCGACGTCGGCTCGACGTCGGCTGGACTTCGGCTGGACGTCGGAACATGCGGGCATATCCGACGTCCAGCCGATGTCGGGCCGAGGTTGAACCGACGTTGGGCCGACGTCGTCATGTTTACTGGGTAAACGTTAATTTTAGTCCCCGTACCCCATAAAATCTTCAAGGTCGGGGACCTTGACCTATGACCTTGACCTCGGATTTCTTTGAATGTTCTACTGCTTCTCGATGAGACGAACACAGTGGTGGCCGAAATTTTCCGATAGCTCCAAAAATGAAGATTTTTAGGGTACGGGGACTAAAATCAACGTTTAAAGTGACCTTGACCTTGACCTATGACCTTGACCTCGAATGTTTTTGAATGTGCTACTGCTTCTCGATGAGACGAACACAGTGGTGGCCGAAATTTTCCGATAGCTCCAAAAATGAAGATTGTATAGGGTACGGGGACTAAAATTTAACGTTTAAAGTGACCTTGACCTTGACCTATGACCTTGACCTCGGATTTTTTTGAATGTGCTACTGCTTCTCGATGAGACGAACACAGTGGTGGCCGAAATTTTCCGATAGCTCCAAAAATGAAGATTTTATAGGGTACGGCGATTTTTAAAGTGACCTTGACCTTGACCTTTGACCTTGACCTCGGGTTTTGAATGTGCTACTGCTTCTCGATGGGACGAACACACTGGTGGTCGAATTTTTCAAATCGGACCATAAACAAAGATTCTACAGGGCATAGGCGTAGGAACGTTTTCGAAAGTGGGGGGGGGGCCAGGGTCCCAGAGGTCCAAAACCTAACCTACCCCCAAAATCCAATTTCTCCTCGGATTTCGGCCACTTTGTTTTCGCAAACATGTTCAGAGGTAAAAAAAAAATCGAGGCAAAAACAAAACCAAAATTGGTTAAAATTTCAGGGAGACTCCCGTCCATAAACTCAAACTGATGGACGCGTTCCCCTGTCCTCTGCAGCCGTTGGCACCCATGCAAATTCCAGAGGCATCCAGCAACTTTTTCATTACGAGCAAGCGTGAAACGTGCAAAGCGAGTCTTTTCAATATACCTATAAAATCAGCATGGACGGCCCAGCTATGTAGGCTCAGCCAGGCCTATAACGTTTTTAAGAGGTTTTATCTCAGCGACCACTGCAACTGGGCAGATTGACTAAATCAGAGGCCAGTGTGGGACTTTTAGAGGCCGGTCTGGGCCCTCAGAGGCCAGTTTAACC